TACATTTCTATCCATGTCGGTCTTCTTTTTGAAGATCCATTTGCACCCGACTGTCTTACAACCTGGTACATTGTCAACCAAATTCCAAAATTGGTTGTCATACATGATAGACTGCAAGAGTCAACTGGTGAGAGTTCGAACTCCAAGTGGAGGAGAACTGGTTATTCATGGAGAGAGAGCCTCGCGTGGGTCATCTTTCTGTTCGTCTGCGTGGGCTAGGAGGCTTCTTCAGCAGGGTTGTTCTGGGTTCTTGGCTTATGTTTCAGACACAAGGATTGAGGCCACGCCAAAGTTGAGCAATGTTCCGATTGTGCGAGATTTTCCTGACGTATTTCCTGAGGAGTTTCCAGGGGTGCCTCCGGAGAGGCAAGTGGAGTTCTTTATTGATTTAGTGCCTAGTGCGGCTACGATAGCCAAGGCACCGTATCGTCTAGCTCCTCCTGAGATGCAGGAGTTGTCTATGCTACTTCAGGAGCTGCTAGACTGAGGATTTATTCGTCTGAGCAGTTCCGCGTGGGGAGCAATGATCTTGTTCGTGAAAAAGAAGGATGAGTCGCACATGATGTGTATTGATTATCGAGAGCTGAACAATCTAATGGTGAAAAATCGTTATCTGCTTCCGAGGATTGATGATTTGTTCGACCAACTTTAGGGTACATCTTGGGTTTTCAAGATTGATCTTCGGCCGGGGTATCACCAGATGAGGATATACCGAAGATGGCCTTTAGTACTCGTTATAGTCATTATGAGTTTGTGGTGATGCCATTTGGGCTCACTAATACCCCAATGCCCCAACGGAGTTCATGGATCTCATGAACCGGGTTTGTAGATCAATGTTGGATCGGTTTGTGATCGTCTTCGTTGATGATATGTTGCTTTATTCTAAGACCAAGGAGTAGCATAAGCAGCATTTGAGGAAGGTGTTGGAGACCTTAAGGATGGAGAGGTTGTATGCAAAATTCTCCAAATGTGATTTTCGGTTGCGTGAGGTGCAGATTTTGGGGCACATCATCAATCAAGAGGGTAGTTTGGTTGATCCAGCCAAAATTGAGGTGGTGATGCGTTGGGAGGTTCTGAAGAAAGCATATGAGATCTGGAGTTTCTTGGGTATTGCAGGGTACTATCGGAGATTTATTCAGGATTTCTACTAGGTTGCCATACCTTTAACCTGCTTGACCAAGAAAAGCGTGAGCTTTCGGTGGGGTCCAGATCAGCAGTCGACATATGAGACCTTGAGACAAAAATTATGTGAGGCCCCAATTCTAGCACTACTTGAGGGATTGGATGACTTTATAGTGTATTGTGATGCTTCTATTTTGGGACTAAGAGCGGTTCTAATGCAGAAGGGGCATGTGATTGCTTATGCTTCGCGACAGTTGAAGCCCCATGAGGCAAATTACCCACACTCATGACTTAGAATTGGGGGCGATGGTGTTTGCCCTCAAGATTTGGAGACATTATTTGTATGGGGTCCAATGCACCACTTTCACTGATCACAAGAGTTTGAAGTATTTGATGGATCAACAGAATCTGAATATGTGACAGAGGAGATGGCCCGATGTAGTAAATGATTATGACTATGAGATCTTGTACCATCTCGGGAAGGCCAATGTGGTAGCCGATGCTTTGAGCCATAAGAGGGCAAGTGCCCCGATTCAAGATGTTTGCTTGAGGATGATAATGATTTTGCCTTTATTAGACATGATTAAGGAAGCATAGGTGGAGGGTTTAAAAAGGGAGAACTGAAAGCTCGAGCAGATTCAGGGGAAAATTTCGTTATTTGTTCGAGATGGTCGAGGGTTATTGACTCAGTGTGGCAGAGTTTGGGTTCCGGTGTCCAGGGGTTTGAGGCAAAGAATCTTGGAGGACGCACACAAGTCCAAATTTTTTTTTATCCATACGGGGGCCACAAAGATGTATCGATACCTGAGATTGAGTTATTGGTGGCCTTGCATGAAGTGAGAGGTTGCATGGTTTATCGAGTGGTGTTTGACCTGCACGAAGATCAAGGAAGAACATCAGAGGCCTCATGGAAAGATGCAACCGCTACCTATTCCTATATGGAAATAGGAAGAGATCTCTATGGATTTTATCATGAAGCTACCTAAGACGACACGAGGTGTGGATTCCATTTGGGTTATTGTGGATAGGTTGACCAAGAGTGCGTATTTTATTCCAATTCCTGAGAGTGTCTCCATCGAGAAATTAGCAGACATTTATGTGCGGGAAGTGGTGGCTAGGCATGGGGTGCCGATATCTGTGGTCTCAGACCACGATGTTCGTTTCATCTCCAGATTTTGGAGGACGTTTCATGAGGGGTTGGTTACTTAATTGCATTTCAACACTGCTTACCAACCCCAGATGGACGATCAGGGTGAGCGGATGATTCAGATGCTCGAAGATACGCTTAGGGCATGTGTATTGGATTTCGAAGGGGGTTAGGATACTTACCTTCCACTAGCATAGTTTTCATACAACAATAGTTATAATGCTAGTATTGACCGACCCCCGTTGGAGGCGATGTATGGTCGAAGGTGTAGGACTCCATTTTGTAGGGGGAGGTTGGGCATAGAGTTATGGGAAGCACCGAAGTGGTGCTTAAGATGATCGGGCTGATCCAGTAGGTTCGCGACCGACTTTAGACAGCGTAGAGCAGACAGAAGATCTATGCGGATAGACATAGATCGGACCTGGAGTTCCAGGTTGGGGACATGGTGCTCCTGAAGGTGTCACCCTGGAAGGGTGTTATCCGATTCAGGAGGCGGGGCAAGTTGGGCCCCAGGTATATTGGTCCATTTCGGGTTATTGCCCAGGTGGGCAAGGTTGCGTATCAGTTGGACTTGCTTGAGGAGCTTGAACAGATCCACATTACATTTCATGTCTCGCAGCTGTTGAAGTGTGTGGCTGACAAGTCGATGGTTGTATCGCTAGATGATATTCAGATTGATGAGAGCCTGAATTATGTGGAAAAGCCTATTGTGATTATGGATAGGGAAACGAAAGCCCTCCGGAACAAGGAAGTGAAGTTAGTAAAGGTGGAATGATAGCACTGAAGAGGCTCCGAATGGACTTGGGAGCCGGAGGACGAGATGAGGAAGCATTATCCGGACCTTTTTGCATCAGCAGACTTCGAGGATGAAGTCTAGTTCAAGTGGGGGAGATTTGTAACGCTTGGTTCAGGAATAAATCATTTCTTAAAGTATTTGAAACTATTGCTGGAACTCGACGAGTTGGGGGGCTCTAACTTGTCGTGTTGAGAAGTATTTGGAGTCCCTATATTCGATGGTATCAGCTTAATGCATTAAGAGGTTAGATTTCTGGCCAACTTGACAAGTTCATTAGTGAACTCGATGAGTTGATGGGATTTTCCCCGATCTATTCGGATGATGGAGAAACTTGACGAGTTGAGGGACAACTCAGGCCATTGACTTTGACTTTTGACATTATTCTTTGACTAAGTTTGACCTTTTAGGGGTTTTGGGACATTTTGAGTTGAATTTAAGGAACTTTTTTGTTATAGGGTTTGTGTAGAGCAGATTTTTGGAGTCTTGATCTAGTCAACTACCGTTTAGTATTAAGGTAAGTCTTCTCACTATACTCATGGGTCGAAGGCACCAAGCCTGACCAATAATCAATATGAGATGATTAGTATTGGAATATGTATGATTTGCTATTTGATCTACGTATGTGATTATGTGAAGACCATGGGAGGAGCCCATCACATTTGACAAGACCATGGGAGGAGCCCATGGCTCGGGGATACAAGACCATGGGGGTAGCCCATGACATTCCATATGAAGACCATGAAGGGAGTCCATGGCAAGTTTATATGTATGTGTGCATGACATTATGTGATTATGTGTTATGTGTGTTTTGAGAAACTCACTAAGCGTGTGCTTACATTTTGTTGGCTGTTTTAGGTACATCCGACCATAAGGGCAAGGGCCCGGCTTGATGGCGTGGCATGAATTCTCCAGTATTTCCGCACTTAGTCTTTGATATTTTGATATTCAAAGAAACATTATGATTATGTAATGGGATTTTAGAAACACATTTTTTTTTTGGTATTTATGATTAAATAAATGATTTTTTTTTATTATTTTTTTAAATCTAGGTTGTTATAGATTGTGCACATCATTTTTGGATATTTTGTTGATTGATGATTTCAGGATATTCTGATTTTGACTATGTTCTTGAAAACAATGTTTTTGTATGGTTTATGGATTATTAAAAGGTTTTAAAAATAAAAATTTTTATTATGATTTTTGGGATGTTATAGTCTTGAATTTGGTTTTGATGGAAATGAAAAAGCAAGCTTCACTAGCTTCAATTTCCAACTGTTAATATTGACTTTTATTTTAATAATTTTATAGCTTGACTATCATGAAAAACTAAGAATAACATTTTGATATCGTAATCTTATATCTATAGTTTTGAAGATTTTGATTAAACAATATTTACACCATTAAATCAACATAAATGATCAAATTAAAACAAAAATTTTAAATAAAAAAAATTCGTGTAATACCCAAACTAGACCTAATACCCAATTTACCTACCAACTAATTACCCGAATTTTTAATTACGTCGTTTATAAGATATTTTTTTTATTAGGCAATACATAATCAATCCGATCCGAACTACCTACACCCGAAAGTTATACCCGGATTAATACCCCTGCGCATTAGTATCAAGGTAGGACATCACGATACGTGGCACGTCAGGTTTGCTTGGCAATCGGGAACACTTGAAATACCCTTTTGTGCAAATGGCCAAAGAATTATAGTTTGATATGATCTTTAATTTGACATTTTCTTTTGATTTTTTGTAACTAAATAGATTCATTCTCTACCACTTTTATATGAATGTCTTACTACTTATTTGGACAACAATTTCCAAATTAGGAATCCCGAATCTATCGCTATAGTGCTATGAAAAGGATTCCAAAGAAACCAATAAGAATCAAAGGTGTGGGGGAGGCTATTTCCAATAATGTAGTATAATGATTAATGGTGAGGTCATAGAAGATATAAATGGTCTCACCTACAATTTAACAACCAAAAAATTCAACGAAAATATATGTTAAATGTTATTCGCATTTAACATGAGTTCTGAACCACTCCCTTTCTTTATTGCCACTTCCATTATGCAGGAACTCTCCATCGCCCCTTTCCCAGTTCTTCTTAGATGCCTCCTTCTACTACTCTTTAATCCCCTCTCACACATGGAAGTTTCTTTGAAGAAAGCTTTGAACTTTGAGCTTTAGGGGCTTTCATGGTTGCTTTTCTTGTACATAATCCCCTGTTATTCTTTTTTTTCTTCAAATCCCCTTTTCTACATCATGATTTCCTTCATGGGCGTTAGACATCATCTTTGGAAAGCTGATCACAAGGTGTTTGATGATTTGTCTGAACCAGATTTACAAAATCATATTTTATTGTCTGCCAATTAACTACTACTACTTATTTTATTCATTCAGTTGACTTTCTTTCAGTCAACCGAGTCAACTCTCCTTGTTTCATATCAATATGCCTTTTTCTTTGATCTATCTAAAACTCCAAGAACTACCTTTCTCATGGTCTTGTATTCAATCACAGGGTGTGTGGAATTAGGGTATCTAGGATACATGGCCATGAATGAACTAAAGAGATTGTTACTGTTGTTGGTTTTCTTTAACAGATGTTTCATCGAGGCACAAACCTCCCAAGCTCAGGTATGCAATTACTGCACTGTTATTACTGTTATTATTATTGTCGGTGCTTAATAGTTACATGTTGTTACTATAATTATACTATTATTATTTGTTACTGTTATTGTTAATACTGCATTATGTTTCAGGGATCGAATAAGCCTATGAAAACTAGTGTTCAATCAAGACCATATGTTGTAAACATCGGGTCGATTTTGACTTTCGATTCGATGATAGGTAAAGTAGCAAAAACTGCACTAAAAGTTGCAGTAGAAGATGTGAATTCTGATCCAATGGTTCTTAATGGAACGAAGCTGAAACTAACCATTCATGATTCCAATTTCAGTGGCTTTTTGAGTATTATGGAGGGTATGTTACTTATGTGTATATGTCTTGTAAACATTTTTCTCATATCTTTCAAACACAGATTCCTAAATTTCATTCCTTTAATCTTTTTAAACAGCGTTACAATTCATGGAAAACGAAAGCGTCGCATTAATAGGTCCTGAATCTTCGGTCTTAGCTCATATGATCTCCCATGTCGTCTCCGAGCTTCAAGTCCCTCTACTGTCCTTCACAGCCACCGACCCGACATTATCTTCGCTCGAATACCCGTTCTTTATCCGAACAACGAACAGTGATCTTTTCCAAATGGCTGCCATAGCAGACATAATCGAATACTACGAATGGCGTCAAATCGTTGTTATTTATATCGATGATGATCATGGGAGAAATGGAATAACTTCATTAGCCGATCAATTAGCAGGTAAGCGGTGTAAAATCTCCTACAAATCCCCCATTAAACCCAACGCGACCCGTGAAGAAATACAAAATGTTTTGCTTCAAATCGCGTTTATTGAATCGAGGGTTCTTGTGGTTCACACTTACGCCGATTCTGGATTAGATATACTCGAAATCGCTCACAATTTAGGGATGATTGGTAGCGGCTACGTTTGGATTGCAACCGATTGGGTTTCCACCGCCATTGACGTAAGCTCGCCGTTACCGGAGAAATCGATTGCAGCAATCCAAGGAGTTATTACATTACGATCGTATATAAAAGACTCCGAACTTAAAAGGAACTTCGTTTCCAAATGGAGAAACTCGACAAAATTGGGTTTGAGTACGTATTCTTTGTACGCATACGACACTATTTGGCTTATTGCTCGTGCCCTCGAAGCTTTCTTCGATAATGGCGGAAACGTTTCGTTCTCGAAATATCCCAATATGGGCAGATTCCTGAATCTTGATTCTTTGAGTATCTTTAATGGAGGCAAAATGTTGCTTGAAAACATTTTACACCTCAAAATGAACGGAACAACAGGACCCATCGAGTTCACCTCCGATAAAAACCTCGTTTTTCCGGCATTCGAAGTTATCAACGTGATCGGAACTGGATTCCGGAGAGTAGGGTATTGGTCGAACTCTTCACGCCTGTCGATTTCTCCCCCAGAAACAGTCACCCAATCGAGTTCATCTAAGCGATTGGATAACGTAATTTGGCCAGGTGAAACCCTAAAAAAGCCTCGCGGATGGGTTTTCCCACAGAATGGGAAGCAATTGAAAATCGGAGTTCCAAATCGGGTTAGTTTTGAAGAGTTTGTGGAACAAGTAAACGGGAGCGATTCATATCAAGGCTATTGCATCGATGTATTTACTTCTGCGATAAATTTGCTCCCTTATCCTGTTCCATATAAATTCTATTCGTATGGAGATGGTCACAAGAACCCTAAAAATACTGATCTCGTGAGCTCGATAAAAGATGGTGTGAGTGTTCCTTTAAATTCACTTCAATTTATTTGTTTATTATAAAATTATAATATTCTACTTTATTGATATCTAACCAATTAAAACATATATTACTATACATAGGTGTACGATGCTGCTGTGGGTGACATTGCGATCATCACCAACCACACTCGCATGGCGGATTTCACGCAGCCATTTATCGAGTCTGGGCTTGTCGTTGTGACACCTGTCAGAAGGCTAAACTCGGGAACTTGGGCTTTTCTCAAACCATTTTCTACTAAATTGTGGTGTATTACCGGGATATTTTTTCTAGTTGTGGGAATAGTTATTTGGATTTTAGAACATCGTAAAAATGACGAATTTCGTGGTACTCCTAAGCAACAGGTCGTCACCACCTTATGGTAAATTACAAAAATACCCTTTTAAGATAACATATCTATCTTGGTAATGATTTTTATAGTTTGTGTTATTTTCTTGCTAACGCATTGTGTTTTGTTCTTTGTAGGTTTAGCTTTTCGACGTTATTTTTCTCCCATAGTAAGTTACTCTACATGAAATTGACAAAATGCAAGAAAATAGCAACGTACTTTTGACATTTTTGCTTTTTACAAATTCCTACTTTTATTTTGTGTTATTACAACATTGAATTTGAAAATAAACGAAAGTACAATGCTAGGTTTTGCATCGTATGAATAAATTGCTATAAAACTTTTCACAAAATACTTGTATCCGACTTTATAACACACATGTATCATTGTAGAACAAAACATGATGAGCACACTTGCGCGCATCGTATTACTCCTATGGTTATTCGTGGTTCTAATAATAAGCTCGAGTTATACTGCAAATCTCACTTCAATCTTGACCGTTCAAAAACTTTCTTCACCTATCGAAGGGATTGATAGTTTGATAAAAAGCAAAGATCCAATTGGGTATCAACAAAGTTCTTTTGTAAGAAACTATTTGGTCGAAGAACTTGGGATTTTGGAAAGTAGACTTGTTCCTCTTAACTTGCCTCAAGACTATGAAAAAGCCCTAAAAGATGGTCCTGACAATGGTGGTGTTGTTGCAGTTGTTGATGAACGTCCGTATATTGAACTTTTCCTTTCTACCCGTTGTCAATTCAGTATTGTTGGTCAAGAATTCACCAAAAATGGATGGGGATTTGTAAGTAAAACTAATTATTTTGTGCTTAATCTCCATAGTCAAACCAATGGGAGTTGACTTTTTTATATGATTTTTTGTAGGCCTTCCCACGGGATTCTGATCTTGCAGTAGATATATCAACAGCGATCCTTAAACTATCAGAAAATGGAGAGTTACAAAGGATCCATGACAAATGGCTATTGAGAAGTGCTTGTAGTTCACAAGGGTCAAAGTATTCAGTTGACCAGCTTGAAGTAAAGAGCTTCAAAGGCCTATTCTTCATTATTGGATTAGCTTGTTTACTTGCACTTTTTATATACTTTGTACTCATCATACACCAATACATTAAACACAAACCCGGCCCGTCCGAGTCAACCGGGCGTAGCCTCCGATCGGGACGCCTTCAAACTTTCATTTCATTTGTTGATGAAAAGGAAGAGTCGGTCAAAGCCAGGTCAATGAAAAGAGTTAAAGAGGCGAGTTCATGTAGGAGGAATGGTGATGATGTGGCAGTGAATGGATATTGAAATACACCGAAGGAATCGTGTTTGGATACACCGGAATACTTGTATTTATGCCATGTCAGCATGGAAGTTGTACATATGATCGAAGTTAGTTAGGAGTTGGGCATGTTAATGGTAGTTGTACATATTTTACTACTATAGAGATTACAAGGTGTTGTATATGAGGATTATAGAACCTCACAATTGTAAAGTGAATGTAAAATAACATGGAAAGAGCATATATATAATATATTTATTATAATGGCTTGTCAAATAGTATTTTGAGAGCATCTTTTAACGTGAAATCATTCCCTAAGTTTCTTGCATTTTGATATATCAGTGACATAAACTTTCTAATTTCTATTGGTGTTTTTATTTATAAAATCTATCATACCAAACTTTTTTAATGTATTGACTTTTTCTAAAAGCCCTTTTTGCAATTTGTATAGAAATTCTAAACATAGAGTATACCATGAATTCGGTATTTGATAATAATATTTCGGCAAATAATTCTATAAAATATGTATATATCTATTATAATCGGTCATTTCTTTTTGGCGACGTTCATTTGATATTTTTGAAACTTTTCAACTTCTTTTTTAACTTATTATTATTATTATTATTATTATTATTATTATAATAATAATAATAATAATAATAATAATAATTATTATTATTATTATTATTATTATTATTATTGTTATTATTATTATTATTATTGTTATTATTATTATTATTATTCTTATTATTATTATTATTATTATTATTATTATTGTTATTATTATTATTATTATTATTATTATTATTATTATTCAATTGTCAACATAATATATTTGATTCATTAAATTAAATTGGATGTAAAACATTATATTTTTAATGTTACCACTTAATAATTATTAATATAATATATACCTAATCTGTTACTTTAAATATGGTGTTTAATTTAAAAAATATATCAAAAGGTCAAATGAAGTTGAAAACTGCCGTCTACATACTATTATAGTTAACATTTTCCAATATAATGTCAAATGTACAACTTAAATTGAAATGTCAAGTTAACCAAAAATATGACCAAATGCAATTTTTTTTAATAATAACTAAAATTTTCTAAATATGTAATTTTTATTAATTAAATAATAATATATAAAGCTAAAAAATATATTAACTTACTTTAAAAAATGGTACCATATAAGATTTTTTAAAGCCACTTAAGATTTTTTGAAGCCACACAAGATAAAAAAAAATCATAGCTTCCAAATGATGTGGTATTTCTAATATCTTTTATTTTGGAAAACAAAATCAACCAACAACAACCCTTTAACACCACCCTCTCTCTCCTCCCGCTACATTGGTGGTGAGCCATGGTTGGCGAGCTCCCTGGCGCGCGCCAGAGGGTGGTGTGCAACACTCATGACACCTCCTAGCAAACCTTCATTGGCGAGTCACTCCCTTAAGTCTAATCATGATAAAAAAAAAGTTAAAAAACAAACTTTATAAATGGTCGTTATGATTTCTCATAATCTAGGCTTTAGTCCCAAACTTCTATTTTTCTTCAAGGAGGGTCCATGTGCTTTCAATTTCTATCATGATTAGTCGATCACCATATAAAAAGATTTTTTTGCCCTTAGTAATTTCTTTGTTAATTTTTTTTATTATTTACTTATCATATTAAATTAAAAAATGATAATAATAAAGCCCACTCACCCCACTCCTACTTGATAGCTGATCCCATACTCATCCTTACCACTTTATCCATCTTACCCTCTCACCATAAAACATAAAACCCATGACTTTAATATTATCGACTTCTTCAACACCATCGACGACATAACTGTTTTCGACACTACTCTACCACATTCTCTCTTTGTCACTTTCTCCACCATGTATGCCTTCAAACTCACAAACTAATCATTCACTATCGCCACCGCTTCCACTTCATTCACCGTCAAATGCTAATAATGGAAGAAGTCACATATTGATCGATTGCATGTTGCTGATTTCTTGTTTTCCAAAAGTGGTGGCTGAGTGTTAATGGTTGATCGAAGGACAGTAAACACGATCGGAGAAGGAAGTGTCATCGGAATCCCACCACCATGAGTTCGCTATGGATCGGAGCAACTTGAGGTTGTTCTTGAACTCCAAAAGTAATGTGATCCATCATCATTGCCCCTCGTCGAAGCCCTATTCCTCCATCTCCACTGTCATCTGTGATTTTTATTTTTCAGATTGAGGATCTGGTTTATAAAATTCATTTATTGGGCTTAATTTCTTCGATTTCTCAAAGGGATCTTCTAGTTTCTGCGTTTTTTCAAGTTTAATTTATTCAAAACTGAGTTGTGGAGATAAATGGATAGTTTTCTTTGTTTCTTTTCTTACTAATATGAGGAAGAAAGATGGAGATAAATGTCCTTTGATTTCCGGATAGATATATAATTCCGTTATATGGTTTAGGATGATGGTAAGAAGAAGATAGACGAAAAAGGTTGGAGTAGGGGTGTATAATAGTAGAGGTGGTGGTGGTTGATGGTGTTGGATGGTGGTGGGTAATACCAGTAGATGTAAACGGGGTTTTAGTTTTAATAAGCTATTTTTTTCTAAATTATTATATATAATAAAAAGCAACTTGGTTAGAAATAATATACATTTAGGTTTTAGAATTTGGCCACCAAAGTTTCTTATTTTAGAATTTTCTCAATAGTATATATTTATGGTTTTAGACTTTGGCCAATTTTTTTTTGTTATTTTAGACTTTGGCCACAAAACTTTCTCATGTTGTACCTAGACTTTCATATTGTAACACCCCATTTTTACCTTTGATGTAGATTGTAATATAGAGCGCTTGTTATAAATTCGAAAGATAAATATATTACTTATTAGCGTAAATAATCTAAACAAAAGTCGTAGTAATTATAATTCCAAAAGCGTGCATATAAAGAATGCCAAAACGTATGAAGAAGTTATGATTTTTCGATGTTTTGATCCAGTAGTGTGCGATACAGAAATTGAAATCAATATCGGTTGAGTGTTAGCCAAAATGATGTAAACGAGATTTAAAGATCTTGTAAATACGAATTCGTCGATATAAAAATAGTCGAGAACGAAGATCATATGAAGGAGTTTTGATTTACACACAAATTTTAACAGTGTAAGCCTCTATAAAAATATGAATTTATAATAAAGTGAGAATTACCCAACAAAGTGTAAATGAAAGTTTTAGTACTCATTGATAGCTTATAGAACGTAGAAAACGGAGCTCGTATGAGAGAGATACGATTTTTAAAAATATGAGAATTCATACGCGCAACACACATAACTACTAAAAGGTGGGATGCGGACCACAGGGAAGTAGACACATGGCAACCATCGAATGGATCAGCGTAGACCATAGGCGCGACGCGTCCAGGTTTAGAGCACGACGCGTAGACCATATCTCTAGTTCCGAGTTTCTTGATATTTTGGGATTTTAGGAAGTTTCATTCTAGCAAGGTTTGGAAGCATCGAAGAGCTGGGGGAAATAGAAGCGTTCGGGTCGAAGTCCTGCCTGCGATCTTCCCGGTTTTAGTCACGAAACTTCTGTAAGTTAAGATGCACTTACTACAATTTAAGTGTAACATATATTTATATTCATAGTCGTTATTATGAATGTATAAATAAGATTTATTAGTGATTCTATTTATAATCATGATTGATCTACTTACGGGAATGATGTCTAGGCTAGATCTAGTGAGATGTTTAAAATGGGATTTCCAAATAGAATACTTTGTATACCAAACAGACCCTACCTTCGATAAGATCTTACGTGGTTGTTCCTTATTTGATAGATCTTTCGGTACTCATTGGGATTAGTGAAAGATCTAGCTTCTATTACTAGATTTCCACAGAGACTAATAACTTATAGCATTATAGGTTAATACTTGTTAGGCACATTGCTCACCAATTGGATTACCCAGATAGCTATTAATCATATGAGAAATTATCCAGGTGATTTTTCTGACTATACTATATACTTTAGTATGTATCCTCTATATGTTAGGATGTAGTTGCACTATAGTATGAAATTAGGCAATTAGACTACCTTAGTTAATTGCTTGTTGAGTGTGACTATTTGTCTGCTATATATGTGTTGATTGATGGTTTTATTAGGTTAAAACAAAATGCACAATGCGGAAAATAACTTAACAATTAAGAAAGGGAACATGCAACCTAAAAGGATATATGTATTACACTTTGAAGGCAACATACTTTGAATAACAAAATCTAGCATAAACCCTAATTAATTCGAAAATCACATAAGTGTTAGGGTTTACATACCATAGAGTTGTTATTGTAAACAATTCCTTGAATCCTTTCTATTGTTTCTTTAGAAATCAATCATCAAAAGAATGATGCCTCTAATGGCTCATACCCAAAACCCTAAAAACCTTAGAATGAAAAGGAGAGAGAGGATAGGGATATAAATTTCATTCCTAACCTTTTAGGTAAAAGTATCCACAAAATTTGATACCCAAGGGGTCCTATTTATAGTTTGGGTAAATTGCAGGTGTGAAGTCCAAAACAAAATGACATATGCAGAATAAGAATCAAATCATGAATCAATCACACAAATTGCAAGTAATCTAGTCAAAGATTTTGTATATTATTGATGAGCAAGGAGCGCCTCTTGGCGGGCGCGAGCCTTCCGCCTGCGCGCTTCGCTCCCGGGGATGCCAGCGGGCGCTAAGCCTGCTGGGCTGAGCCTAGTTGGCGTGCCCGGTTCTTGGGCTAGATGCGGTTCTGCTGTGCTGCCCTAGGCACGCCATCAATGAGAAAATGGAACATACAAAGAGCCTTGGGTTTTTCTCAACCTAACTGATGTTAATATAAAAAGGGAGTTTTTGGAAGATTTTTTAACAAGCTAAGCTAAGGTTATATATATATATATATATATATATATATATATATATATATATATATATATATATATATATATCACATGTTAAATAACTAAAGTGAAGCACTAAGCATAAGATTCTTCATGAAAAGTTTTCGAACATAACCTACGGAAATTGAATTAATTAAATAATGCATTTAACTCCAATTAAAATTATTTCCTTATTAGCATCCAGGCTTTTGGAAACCCTGGAAGAGCTCCCAAAACCATCCATCCTTGGATGGTTATAGAATTGTCTCTTTCATTCAACTATTGAACAATTACAATCCACCCCTTGAACCTTTAATTAATTCTAATTAATCATGAATTAATTCTAGATTAATTCTGATTAA